AAAATAATTCTGGAGAATATAAAATAATGTATAAACATAAATGAAAAACAGAAATAAAATTTAATCCGAGCCCACTGAATTCACAGTGTTCCCTTAAGGAATTTAATCCCCTCCTAGTACCCAAGGTTGTGGATTATTTCCTCCCAGGATAGAACGAATTACACACTGGTGTAGCGGTACTTCAAACCCCAGTGTTTCAGCGAACACGTAGATCAGTAGAAAATCACACTTACTGTTGCTTTCTTAGTAGTTAAAACAATGCAGAAGAAAGGAGGAGAAGTCAGAAATTCGTATGGAAAATCTGAGAGAATGGACTGCAATATATAGCCAACATGTTACGTTAATATTTACTATTAACAAATAAATTTGGTCCAAAAAATCAATCGATCATTTAACCAAATCCAAATCGAAATCCGAATCTGAAGCCGAAGCCGAAGCCGAAGACGAGCGAGCGACGACGGCGCGAGGCTTGACTTCTTCTTAACTCTTTAAGAGCTACAAGAAGAGAAATTATATATACCCATCAAAAATTGTTTCTTCTTCCAATATGGGAATATGTCCCATTGTCAAGGAGGGAATCTAAAATAAATCTTAAATATTTTATTTTCCCTCCATTTTCCATTCACCCTCTTTTAAGCTACATTAAGCTTAAAAACCCAACAGATGTCAGCAATAACTCTTGTATTTGCATGTCCATATGATATGATGTAGAAGTCATCACTATCGAAAATGCATTCAGATAGCTTAACAACAACAGCAACAACAACAACAACATACCCAATATTATCCCACCCCGTGGGGTCTGGGGAGGATAGTGTGTATGCAGACCTTACCTTTACCTTGTGAGGATAGAGAGATTGTTTCCAATAGACCCTCGGCTCAGGAAAGCATAAGCACCACACTAATAAAAATATAAAGAAGAAGGGGCAGTACCAAAAATCCATATAAAAGCAGAATAAAAACAACAAGACAGTAATGTGATCAACAATGAAAGAAAAGAACGGTTAGTCATAAAACTTACTACCCTCAGAAAGCAAGATCGCGTGCCAATACTACTGTTATGAACACTCTAGACTACCTACTCTACTACCCTAATCCTCGACCTTCATACCTTCCTATCAAGGGTCATGTCTCGGTCACTGAAGCTGCACCATGTCTTGCCTAATCACCTCACCCCACCTCTTCTTTGGCCTACCTCTACCTCTTCGTAGGCCCTCCAATGTCAACCTCTCACACCTCCTTACCAGGGCGTCTATGCTCCTCCTCCTCACATGACCAAACTACCAAAGTGGCGCTTCCCGCATTATCCTCAATAGGGTCCACACCCACCTTGTCGCGAATAACCTCATTTCAGATCCTATCTAACCTAGTGTGACCGCACATCCATCTCAACATCCTCATCTCCGCTACCTTCATCTTCTGGACATGAGCAATCTTAACTGGCCAACATTCAGCCCCATACAACATCGTTGGTTTGGCCACCACTCTGTAGAACTTACCCTTAAGTTTTGGTGGCACCTTCTTGTCACACAAAACATCGGAAGCGAGTCTCTATTTCATCTATCCCGTCCCAATACGATGTGTGACATCTTCATCAGTCTCCCTATTCCCTTGAATAATAGACCCAAGGTACTTAAAATTCCCTCTCCTGGGGATGACCTGCGAGTCCAGCATCACCTCATTTCCCCTTCTTGAGTCTCGCCACTGAACTTACACTCCAGGTATTTTGTCTTGGTCCTGCTCAACTTGAAACCTTTAGATTCCAGGGTCTGCCTCCATACCTCTGATTGCGCGTTCACACCATCTCGCGTCTCGTCAATCAATACAATATCATCTGTAAATAACATGCACCACGACACCTCCCCTTGGATGTGACGCGTCAGTACGTCCATGACCAGAGCAAACAAAAAAGGGGTGAGTGCCGACCCCTAATGCAACCCCATCATAACGGGAAAATGGTCCGAGTCCCCACCCACCGTCCTAACTCGGGTCTTTACTCCATCATACATGTCCTTAATCAACCTAACATAGGCAACAAGTATACCTCTAGCCTCCAAACATCTCCACAAAACCTCCCTCAGTACTTTATTGTATGCCTTTTCTATGTCGATGAACATCATATGCAAGTCCTTTTTTCTCTCCATATACTGCTCCATCAATCTCAATCTCCTAACAAGGTGGATGGCTTCTGTAGTTGAACGCCCCGGTATAAACCCAAAACTGGTTCTCGGAAATAGACACGCTCCTCCTCACCCTTTGCTTTACCACTATTTTCCAGACTTTCGTAGTATGGCTAAGCAGCTTGATACCCCGATAGTTATTGCAATTTTGGATATCATCCTTGTTCTTGTATACAGGAACCATTGTGCTCCACCTCCACTTTTCGGGCATCTTTTTCATTCTAAAATGACATTAAATAACCTAGTGAGCCACTCCAAACCTGTCTTGCCCGCACTTTTCCAAAACTCCACTGGAATTTCATCTGACCCGGTCGCTTTTCCCCTGCTCATCTTACGCATAGCCCCCTCAACTTCATCAACTCTAATCCGCCTACAATACCCAAAGTCACAATGACTCCCGGAGAGTTCCAAATCACCCAGTACAATGCTCATGTACCCCTATTCAAGAGACTATGGAAATAGTTCTACCATCTCCGATGGGTAAGCCCCTCCTCCAACCAAACTCTACCTTCTTCGTCCTTGATACACTTCACTTGGTCCAAGTCACGCGCCTTCCTTTCTCGCGCCTTGGCTAACCTGAACAACCTCTTATCCCCACCTCGGCCCTCGAGTTCCTCATACAAAC